GGCAGTGAAAATGGACTAAATTGAGTTTTACTAGAGTGAAACTGATCAAAAGAGAGGTGATCTTCAAATAGTAATAAAGAACCTTAACTACATGCAGCCTTGTACCCTCCTACCATTAAACTGTATATACTTCAGGCACTGAAGAGAAAAGATTTTACCTTACATATACAAAGGGCAAGGTAAACTACACATTTTATCAACTGTTAGTTCTTTTAAATAGCAGGGATGAGAATTCCCAAAGGCACTGCTGACCACATCATGCAAGTCATCTAGTAATCATGATCCAGCCTACAAGACACACAAAGAAAACTTTTGTATATGAAACATCATTTCAGAATCTCACAAGGCCAGAAAGCTCTCAGTGTTTCAAAAAGAGATGAAATGTTAACTCTGTTGGTCTCTTTTGTCTGAAATTCACTCTTTCTATGAAATTCAACACCACACAAAGAGCCAGAATCAGGATTAAGGATCTCATAAACCCCATTTAATTCCTTAAAAAGGCTTCTGTGCAGAAATGAATTCCAGTCTCTGAGAAAAGCTGTACTATTCACAAAAGCGGAGGGGGGGGGGGCGGAGGGGCTTTAGAATTACTATGAAAACTGTGTTCCAGGAAACTTTTAAACTTTTTTTTGAAACATACTTCTTTTAAATGGAGATATATGTTCTTTAAAATAGGCATTGAAAATAGAATCCTAAAATGTTTTCACTTAAAAAATTGTAATTATTAAAGTCAATTTCTTTGTTGCTACTGACTACAGAGTGATAACAAAAAATTACAAGAATCAGGTCAAAGTCAGCCAGCATCTAAAAGGTCTTTTGGGGAGACTTACCACTTGTAGGGATTCTCCCTAAAATCAGGGAAATAGTCTTCCATTGGCAAGAAATAGGAGGCAGAGAAATGGAAGATAATGAGTCCCTTGTAATATGTTTTTCATGTACCTTGAGGAGGTTGAGTTCAAGGAAGACAGAGAGAAAGAATAAAAGAATTTTTAAAAAATGAAAAGAAGATGACCTTACAGTCAATTTCTACACTTCAGGTATAGTCTTACTCCCCATGAGTGCTAGCAGCTCTTTCTGGTGATGAAACTGTTATTGTGTGGTTAATTTAGGTCTCTATTTAATGCATGACATAAATGGACTGAACAGTGCATTTGGTGAAGGGACAGGGTGATGTAAGCTGGTAACCAGTAAAAAATCCCTTCTAAGGAACTGCAATGGTGAAAATGTATTTCAAAAGCATTAAAGCTCATTGTCATGGGTGCCACTGCCGAAACCCCTTGTCAAACTCAGAGGTGCTTTGCCACTTCTGCTCTAACATGCTGTTGAGCTATTGCAATCTGTCAGAGAGCAAGAGCAACTTTGGTGCCTGTGCCAGTCCCAGCCAGACTGGACCTCTTCATAGGTTTAAAAGTCAAAAAGAGCTTTTTAAGATGTTTTATTTGTTTTGGGTTTTTTCTTTTTTTCCAGTTGGCGTAAATTCCAACACTACAATTTGGGCATGAGCCAGCCTAATGCTCAGTATGCCTGGGAGTCATGGGGTGTTTGCGAATGCTGTACTGCTGCAGGAAACAGTCCCTGGGAACTGCGGGCTCTGAGCTTCCCATTGCTTACCTTAGGGAAAGGAGAATACCCCAAGCAGGAAGGGTCTGTTTTGTGGAAGGAATGTTCATATAACCCTGGACATCACTGAACCCCAGAAGAGCTAAAGCTCCAGAGAAACTGCAATATGAACACAGCAACAGCCAGACAACTAACAGACCAGCTGCAAAGCAGCAGAGCAAATATTCAATGGCCAAAGCAGCCAGTGACAGAAGGGGCTACTAGTAGTTGCCACTTAAAATAAAGGTTTTAATACAGTAATTTCTCTATTATCTAAAATAATCGGGGACAGGAATACACCAGTAAAATATAAAACTCTGTACCGGGGAGATGCTGCTGCCATCACGTGGCATAGTAATTGCACAAAGTCGGGAAAAATGCTATGGTACACAAGAAAATCAACTGCATTTATTTTCTATGAGACAAATGAGTTTGCTTAATGTGTACAGAACATATAAGATACTTACAGAGGAGTTTTGATGCAAATTTGTCTGTCTTCTTCAAATTTGTCTTCTGCCTTTTGACTGAATTCTGCTAGTAAAAATCTAACTTTGCACATGACCCCATGCTGTCAACTCCCATGGGACTGGGGCTCACCTGAAAAATCACCAGGATATAAGTATTGTGAATAGTAAAAACTTACTGCGGTCCTTCAGACGCCAGTATTCATAACTGAAACTCTTAATGTCATTGAAGTAGGGGAAAGATACTTAGAGAGGAGTTTTGATGCAAATTTGTCTGTTGGGAAAACTTCTGTCTTTTGACTGAATTCTGCTAGTAAAGATCTAACGTTGCACATGACCCCATGCTGTCAACTCCCATGGGACTGGGGCTCACCTGAAAAATCATCAGGATATAAGTATTGTGAATAGTAAAAACTTACTGCGGTCCTTCAGACGCCAGTATTCATAACTGAAACTCTTCATGTCATTGAAGTAGGGGGAAAAATGTATTTACTACATATTTTCTTTAGTTACATACAATATTTTCATTGTAATTACGTTATTTTGTCCACTGTACTACAGGAGTAAAACCACCAGGATTCCTTTATGCCTTTTGTCACAAGGTGGCGACGTTGGAAGCAAGAAAAATGATGGAGACCGGGGACAGAGCAGCACCCTAAAATGCTGACATTCACCACACTTTGGAGAAAATAACAAATTATAGGTAAACTCTGATCCATATATGTATGTGAAGATCCACGTACTGACTTTAAATGTAAAGCAATTAAAATAAATGTCAGACCAGGACTATAAATCCCCTAATGCAATATAATCCTTGAATTATAACCATTATAATCCTTTCAAATATAAACATTTTGGTGGGAATTCAACACACCCGTACACACCTTTCACTATATCAAATTCATTATGTAAATAAGATGAGAAATAATTCTCTTTCCTTTCTAGGATTTTCTCTCCTTATGGTTTTGTTAGCAGCTATTTTTAAATAAATATATGGAAGCAATTACAAGATCCTGTTAAAAGAGTACCAAAGTATGTCAGCAGAATGAGTTCCAAGGTAACAGCAGTTTTCTGCCACAGACCAAGCAAAGCAGAGAAAATTTAAGACACGAATCTTGTTATTAAAATGGATCTGTAAGCTTATTAGCTCTGAACAGAATCCAGCATCCTATTCAAAGATGCTTTATGCAGAAAACCAGCAGAAGCTCATTATTCACAGAGCCACAGAATGGTTAAGGATAGAAAAGTCCTTTAAGATCGATCACTAAGCCCAACTCCCAGCCCAGCACCACCACCGTGTTCACCATTAAAACCTGTCCTCAAGTGCTGTATCCACGTGTCTTTTGATCGTTTCCAGGGATGGTGACTCCACCACTTCCCCGGGGAGCCTGTTTCAATGGCTGGCCATCCTTTCAGGGAAGAGTATTTTCCCTGTTATAAATGACTAGGCCAATATTCAAGCAGCAATCAATTTATTAATTAATATGGTAAAGTATGAGCAATACAGCGCTGGGTACAGTGGGGGAAATTTTCCCTCCAACTGCACGCTGATAGTTGGGGCTTACAGATATTTATAAGGCTTCTCATAAGCTTTCTCAGCAGTTTCTATTCCAAATTTTTACGTCACAATTCTATACACTACTGTGATTTAGTTTTTCTCAGGATGTATCTCAGAAAGGAGTGTTGCCACAGTGGGGTCCAGCTTCCGAAAGAAGAAAGAAGTCTCCCAGCTGGTAAGGTCCAGATTCCAGATGCAGGTTCACCTTTTAATTGCAAGGACTAGAAATCTCATACCAGTGATGTCCAGCTTCCCTTGGTCAAAACTATCAATCCTGGAGTTGATGTTCATCTTCCTTTCTCAAGCTGCTTTTCAATATTTTGTTAAGGCGTCGAGATAAGCATGTTTCTTTTTTATATATTCTAAAGCTATAGTTTCAAAGATCCTTACTACAAGCAATATTCTAAAATTATACTTCAAAATATTATTGCAAAACTCTTTTTAGCTAGAAGCAGAAAGTTCCTGTCAAACAGCAACATCCTTAAAGCTTTAATTCGAATGCTCCTAAATCAACTTAAGACTTATAAAGGTTAATTGCAAACAAAGGATAGGTTCAAAGGCCTTCTTCCATGCTTTACTTCCTCAGTTATTTATTAGAATTGTCTTTATAGCTGTCCCATGGTCAGTTTCCACACATATCACAATCACAGGTACACAGGTTGCCTGTATGTACCTGACACGAAACACAGCTTCGTATTTCACATTCCCTAATGTACGACCCAAACTCCCCTGGCACAGCTGGAGGCCATCTCCTCTTGCCCCATGTTTGCTACCCCTGCTCTCGGGCAGTTGCAGAGGCCGATGAGGGCCCCCCCGAGCCCCCTTTCCTGGGGGTCAAACACCCCGGCTCCCTCAGCCCCCCTCACAAGCCCGCCGGGTTCGCTCCCACGGCTGCTGAGGAAGCTGCTGCGGCGGGGAGCGCCTCACACCAGCGGCGGCCCCTGCCAGCTCCGCTGCGGAGCTGCCGTACCCCGCAAGCCCACAAAGACTTTTCTCGGGGATGCACCGAGGACAGGCACAAACAATTAAAAGCGGCGGCCCCTGCCAGCCCCGCTGCGGAGCTGCCGTACGCCGCAAGCCCACAAAGACTTTTCTCGGGGATGCACCGAGGACAGGCACAATTAAACCACACATGACAGCGCTGCCTGAGACCTCCAGGTGAGGCGCGGACAGGGCGCCCAGGCGGGACTCGAACCCTCCACCTCAGGCCGCTTCACCGACCACAGCGCACTAACTCAAACAAAACCCTCCTCCCAACCCCCACCGCGGCGTGACCGCCCTTCCGTAAACATCGCGGCGGGATGAGTGACAGGCTCGACGGCCAATCGCGATGCGCGGAGCGGTGGAGGGGGCGGGATCCCGCGCTGAGCGGCTGAGGCGGCGCGAGGCGGGAAACGGCGGCGCGCGAGCCGGGGTGTCCCGAGCCGGAGCGGCCCTGGGATCGAACCTGGGAGCGAACCTGGGATCGGCCCTGGGAGCGAGAGCAGCGCCCCGGACCCGATCCCTTCCGTGCAGCCACGCCGGGCGCGGGCGCTTCTGCGCGTCCTGAGTGCGGTGTAGCCTCTGGAGAAGCTGCTGTGCGTGCTGAGTGCTGCTTGGTGTCCGCGTGAGTCCCTCAATGGTGCTGCTGAGTTGAGCGAAATGTACTCTTTTTTTCCCCCGCTTTGAGTAGCGCATGGTAACAAGTGCTTTGTTCTGCCGGTTTCTGTTTAGGTGTGTTGCTACAGCTTTCCGATGGGGGTAGAAACAGGTGTCAAAAGATACGAAACGAGGAATAAGACAGCCGGGACAGGACTGGCGTCACCCAGGTCCCGAGTGGATTGGAGACGCACTAGAAGGGCGCTGATACTGCTTGACAGCAGTGACGAATCCTCAGCCGCCTCTGAGGAGGAGGAGGAGGAGTCGTCTGCCACATCCGAAAGTGAAATAAATGAAAAAGACCCGACGGCTGTGGAGAGCAGTGCCGCAGATCAGGAGGAGAAAGACCGCCGTGGGGAAGTAGCAGAGGATGGTGACGATGAGCGCGTTGTGCCTGGCAGGCGTAAGAGGTTGAGCACCTCTGTCATGTACGACAGCGATGAAAGCGAGGGCAGCGACATACTTGTTAGAAAGGTTTCTGCCAAACGCCGCTGTATAATGGATGACGATGAGAGTTCTGAAGAACAGCAGCCTGATAAAACGTGCCCTGCAGAGAATGTGTCTACTAGTAGGAAACAGAAAGTGCTTGCAAAATTGAAAGAACTTGTAAGACAAAGTGCAGTTCGGAGATCCTGCAGCAGTGCAAATTGTGAGGTCAGGGTTTTATCTTTGAAATTTAATTGGACGAAATATTTAATCTGAGGAAAAGTTAAGAGTTACAAATCGGTGGGATTTTTTGGGTTTGAATGCATGACAAATTAGTAGTTCTGTAATATTTTATCAGTCGCATTAACTGGATAACTTGACTGCTGAAAATCTATCAAATTATTTTTACCAGGCAGCAGAATACCTGTTGAAGTGTCTTAGACATCTCATGTTAGCTTAATTCCTCGAAGTAGACTGAAGAGAGGTACATGGAAATAGCTAATTTAAAGCTGAAAGTAATTGGTGTCTAGTACAGAATGATGAGTTTTTTTGGAAATGTGTGCTTTCTTGTTAATTGAACAAATGGTGTTATTAGATAGTCAGAAGTTTTAGCTGGTATATGTAGTATTTTGCCTGTACAAATACTGAAAATTCTTGTGATTGAAGTACTTTTTAAAATTTAATTAGGATTCTAATAGTGAAGCAGCAATAGAGGAGGAACCATTCTGTCAGTTGCCCCTCACACCATCAGAAGGCAGTGAAAGTGATGGTGACAGCCTGAAAGATTTTGTAGTAGAGGCAGAGGAAGACGATGATGGTGATGACATTGAAAACACAGAGCATGTGAAGAATGAGAATCAGCCACATCAAAAGCAACGAAATCCATCAAACAGCGAGCTGCTGGCACACTACATCCCACAGTGTAAGATCAAAATTAGTGATAATTTTTCATGTGTATCTAGCTCGTAGTACTGTAATAAAAATTAATGGGCTAAATACAAATGCTAAGGAATAGGAAATGGTATTTAAAAGCAGATACTTAAAATATTTCAATTTATTACGAAAGCATTCTGATTTCCACAGTAAACTTTTGCAGTCTTTAAATATCTAATTAAAGAGAGGGTATAAGTTAGGGGTAGAAAGTGAAACCTTATTGCACAGTTTTTTTTTCAGTTAGTCTGATTTAGGACGAAGTAGGCTGCCTATGATACATTCATTCCTGGGGACACCTGAAGGCATCATCCTTCATCCTAAAATCTTGTGGTTTATGCTAAGAGTAGCTATGTTAATCTGTCCAAATTCTGTTCTCGCTATGAGTTTGGGCCTTGGGATATTATTTTTTGGATTTTTTTGTTTGGTTGGTTTTTTGGTTTGTTTTGGGTTTTTTTTATGTACTTTTATTCTGTGGTGGTAGGACTTGGGACCAGAGGTGTAGAGGGGTTTTTGACTTAGCTGACCAATCTCGGCCGAATTACACAGAGCAAGAAAACTCTTCAAGTTGTTCTTTTATGAAAACCAGTTTCTGGATGGAGCGGAGAGATTTGAAGCAGAACCTTATGCAAGTTATTTTCTTCCATATTTTGTTGTTCAGAGGTAGGTATGTGGTGACTGGACAGTCAGTGCTTGTTGTAGGTAGTCACAAGCATTTGTGGTATTTCTTCCCCAGTGAAGACGTTAGCAGAATTGTATTTGAAAGAAAAAAAAATGAACACAACAACCAAAGTGCAAGCAAAAAACCCATGACCACAACATAAGCTTGGTCTTCTCTGATTTATATTATTTTCTGCTATTTGTTGAACAAATTCTTCACTTCTCTTAGTGTTTGTAGGTCTTACTATGGACTCTTGCTGGAAGCACATGTGACTTTAGAATACTAAAATTCTATAGGATCATTGGGATGAGAAGCACAATTTAAAGGCAAAATCCTATGGGTGTGGATGTTGTGTATTGAAATTATTTCTAAATCTATATTTAAGTAACTTTAAAATTATAAACTTAAAATACTGGAGAAGAAGAATTCTTCTTACAGGACTTCTAACGTGACTTACTTTTTTTTTCTGAATTTTTTCCTTCTTTTGGTAAATTTTGGTTGTATTGCTTTCTTCCCAGTATCTCGCTGTGATCATTATGAACACTTCAAAAGAATAGTAAAGGCTTTCCTCATAAATGCAATTGATGACACTTTTCTGAGCTCATTATATGGTAAGTAAATTTCATTAAATAATATATTAATGCATTCAAAATTACACAAAGCCATTTGTTCTAGGGAAGAGTGATTCTCCTGATCACAAAACTGAGAGTCCTGAAAACTGTGATTTTCCTGCTGTATAACTTTGGTGGAGGAGAGCAGAGAGGACTCTATCTGAAAATGATACAGTAATCTTGGAAAAATGTGTAGACTTAATTCTTGAGCACAGAAGGCTTTAAATGCCTTCTTGAGATGTAGGAATGTGTTTATGTGTTACTAATCAGTAGTAACCTTTCCAACATGAAAACCAAATTAGTTTCAAAGCAGATATCTCAATGAAAACATTGCAAGGTCAGCTGGTTAGTCAAAATCTCTTGTGCTTCACAGTTTTTTCCTTAGGAATTTGATAGATAAGAAATGCTTTTAGTTATGGAGATGACTATATCATATTTTTTTTTCCTTTTTTTTAACATGTCGGATAAATAAGCTTTAGCTGGAGTCAGTACTTGTCTTATTCTTTCTGAGGAAGTGCTTTTTGGCATTTGGCCTAGTGAGGCTGAATAACAGCCTCACACATAGTTTCATAAGCACTGTGAAGATGAGATTAAGGAGAGGACTCTCAGTGTCAGATTATGGAAGGAGTTAGTGAAATGCCAGGAGTGGAGGATTTGGTGTCATCAGGAGCTAAAAGGGAATGGAGAAACTGAAGTACACCCCTGATCTCAGAATAAAGGCTGTATTCTCTTGGAGGTAAAAATGTCTTTCATTTACCACTGCTAGTTCTTTTGGGTGTTTGGTTTGTTTTGTTTCGACGAGTAAAAACAAGCCTTTGAAAAGTAATAAGTAAACACTGCCAGATTCATGTTGTAATAGCTTCCTTCTATTTCAAATGATATCTGCTCAATAAAATGTAACAATTTACTGCCAAGTTGCTGGAAGTAAATGAGCTCTGCAGTGAGCTGGAGGTTGTACATGAACATTGTATGAGCATAGCCTAGCATTACAAAAATGTATTTTTGTAACATAGAATGGATTGTTCTGAGTTAATGGAAGTGAATCTCTTCGTTAGTTTTGACTCAAGAGTAGCTACTATAGTATTGGAGTTCACACTTGCTTTTTACTGGGGAGGATTTTGTTTTGTGATCTAGCACAGCCTCTCCAAGCTCATACTGCAAATGTGTGTGTAAAGAGAATATGGAAAAACAGTTAATTGCAATTATGGCAGCTATAATGACAATTAACTACGTTTATGTAAAAAGCTGCATAGCCAGTGGTACTTCTCAGGTCTGCCTTTTTTTGGATAGCAGCTTTGCTAGAAGGCATGGGAAGGTAGCTGAGTTAAATTTTATGTCTATACACACTGAAGTTCCAGGGCAGTGTGCATTGGCCTCCATCTGTGGAAGCCCTGTTTAATTTCCGGAGTCCAGCATGTGTTTGGGAAACAGTAACAGTAGTAGTTTTACTCATCCTCATGCTTTTTTATTTATTTTTCTTGAGTAAGTATTTGGAAGTACTTATGCTAACTCAAGGCATCTGACTGTGCTACTGAAGTAAAGGTCAGTTTCTCTGTGAGCTTTATAAGTGACAAAGAGAGCTATCAAAATTTCTACTCTGAAGCAGCTCAGAGAAGTTTGTTTCATGGATTTCAACCACTTCCCTTATACATTTCAAACAACTTAAACAGGTTGGTTGAAAAGCAGAGCATTCCCCCATATGCTTCCTCCTTTTCTGTTGTTTTAAATAGGATTGAGTGAATGGATCTCCATTTGGGATTAGAGCTTTTGGCTTGATTGTAGAATTTATTCTTGTACCCCTTTTAAATAAGAAAATATATCCCTTTAGCAAGGTGCATGGATTGCGTGGATCACTTTTATGGGTAACAGTAGCAAATGTATTTAATGACGTTTAGTAAAATCATTCATAGTTCTTAGTATGCAGAAGCATAATGTTCTTGAAAATTTTATCTAAAGAGCTTGTACAACATAGTGTGGTCAGCAAATTAGTGATGATTCTCACTGAACAGATGGAACGAGACGAAAGAAATATGCACAAGATATGCTGCTCTCACTTCATTATTTGGATGACCGCTTCATTCAGCCTCGTCTTGAGAACTTAATCTGCAGAAGTCGCTGGAAGGATCGATACAAGGTTATGTAGATTGTACTTTAAATGCTGAAATTCTCTGTAAATGTGCAACAATCATTATAATTATATATCATTTTTAACAGCAACTATTGTTCCTTAACTTAAATAATTTGGTTTTGTGCTTATATCAATATCAGAAATATTTTACATGTTGATAACCAGACAAACATTCAGGTAGCAGAACAGAATCTGTGCTCAGCTACCTGAACGTGTCTCCTGCTAACTTCAGCAGTTGACATTTGAGGATTTTTTGTTACTTGCTAAACATTCTAACAAGATATTTTCCTCCTCCCTCAAAAAGGTAAACAGTATGTTCATCATGAACCTTCTACTATTACAAAAAGTAAAATCAGTATAGAGCAATTAGTTATTTTATGTATATTACTAGAAGAGAATTACTGTCACGGGTGTAATGATTTAATGATTACTGTGATAACAAAATTTGGATCTCTTTCATTTCTCTTGGATTAATTTTGTGTGAGTACAGAGTACTCAGCAGCCTGTTAGAGGCATTGCTAAGTTTAGAGAGGTTCTTTAAAGTTACTTGGAATCTGTTTTTCAGGAGCGTGTGGATTGTTACCCAGATGTTCGCATAAGCTTGCAAAATGCAGAAAATATGTCTTGTCAGGCCTGTGAACTGAAGCGGTGGTGTAAGTTCAATGTGTTGCTCTCTGGAAGGCTTTATGATAGTAAAACTTTGGATGTGGATGACTTCATGTCAGGTGATAAACAGGTAATTTCAAACCAGCATTGTAGTTTTAAGTTTTAATTTTAAGGTTTTGTTTTATCAAGAAAATAAATCAAATGTTTTTCTATGGCCTTTGGTTTTGCCTGCATCACAATGACCCTTGTGCTGTTTCCTCCCAACATCTATCCCCTAATGAAAAAGCCCTTCCTTTACCTTTGTGTGTGTCTATAATGCCCTTAAGACTTTCACAGCAGGAGTCTTGCATTGAGTGGTGGTCAGAAACATTGTAAAAGTAACTTTCTGTATGAGGGACAATCATTGCTATTGAATTATTGTGTTTTCTGTTTTGGTGCAGGTGAAGTTTGTTCAGCATTGGGTCGCTAAGTTTACTAATTCTGTGCCTGCTCTGCCTCTAGCCCTTGGAAGGTCCACGTGCACTCCAACAGTTCTTGTTTGCTCTAGGTTCAAACATGAGTGAAACAGTGCAATGGTCATTCTAGCAGTCCAAGTGTGACCTTGTCAAAATTTATTGCTTCATTCTTCAGATTTTTCCCACATGTCCTATTTGCCACGTAGCTATTCACTCAGGACAAATTATCTTGGCATCTCAGATGCATTTACATTTGCTGATCTCCTTTCAAGAAAACTTGTTCCTAGCTACATCAATGCATTTTATTAGAGCCTTTTCCCCACTACTGCATTATCAGAATTACTTATCCAAACTAGGGAACACTTCCATTTAGGTAGTCTTGCATCTATTTCTCCCTCAGTTGTCACTTCTAGAACATATTGGATTAGATTTTTTTAACTAAAAGGCATCTTTCATCTTCTTACATAATGTTCCATTAGGCAGTCATTTTAGGTGATTTAAGAAGTCATCTAAAATAATTTAATAATAGCCTAATACAATTTTATTTAACAGCTGAGCCTTTTGAAAACTGACTCTCAAGAACCTGGGTGTTTCTAATATTTAGAGATTTTCCCCTCAAAATTACAGCTACACATAATTGTAATGATTAGGTGTGCATATAACCTTCAGTAATGCAATTCATGACCTCTTATGATAAATTCAAAGCACTTGATTTGTCAAAAATAAAATATTGCTACAGTTGTTTTACCAAGCTGATACCAAAGTTCTGCCTTTCTTCCCTTTCAGGAGACACAGATGGTATTTTATTTGTAAGTGTAAAAGAATTTTTGAGCACAGCTGAAGGTTCTCACAGTCTTTGTTGAAAATAAAGTTTCAGAACCAGGGTTTTTTAAAGTATATTTGGTAATAAGGTATAATAGGATTTCTTAAGTAAAAATAAAGTGAAGCCCTTGTCAAACAGAAAGTATACCTTACTGAAGCTCAAACCTGTATTATTTGGGTGTTTGCAAATTCTTTAACTTACAGTTTTGAGAGCTGTCACCATGATTAGCATTTTGTCATCATGCATCATACATGTAATGTAGGAGCTTGGAAATCTGTGACAGAGTTTTTCTTATATTACAGACCCTTCTGAGCAGCAGTTGCTGATATTCTGATTTGAAAAGTATGTGTGTGCATGATAGTCAAGAAAGCTAGGCTTTTCCAGCAACACTTTTCCCCTTTGTAGTCCTGTTTATTGGAGGAAAATATTAAGTCCTCTGCAATCATCCCAGCACTGATACTGCAATCTGTCATAGGCATTCTTCCTTACATACAGATCACTAATTTAAAAATACATGGAGAGCACGTGCCTTACCTAACCAGAAATAATTAGTGAACGCAGATCACTAATTTAAAAATACTCCATTTTTCATGGAGAGCACGTGCCTTACCTAACCAGAAATAATTAGTGAACTAGCACAAGAATTTAATCTTTACCTAACTTTCAGCTTCACTGTAGAAATAACAAGTAGCAGTTCCCTCACTGCTGACCAAATGTTGTCTTGCATAAAGTGTTGGCTATTTTTCACTTTGGAAAAAACTTGAAGTATCCTATGGAATACTGAACTAACTTGCTAGTTCATTTTGGTCCTCTTCGGCTTAGCACTACAAAATGAGAGCTTTTTTTACCCTGTGTACACCAGCATCTGGGGACGTCTGCTATGTGCCTGCTCAGTATATCTCAGTGGCTGTTAAGGAGGCTCAGGAGAGAGAGTAATTGAACACTTCCCAGTAATTTTTGATAGTGTCTTGTAATGCAACATTTGTGTTCTTATGGTGACCTGCAATTTAGACTGCCAAAAGTACTGTTCTCAAGGTGTCTTTAAAGCTCTGCTGGCAATGCACTGAGCAACTTGTCCTGCCAATTTAGAAAAAAAAATAAAAGAAAAAGAGGCTCTAAGAGCTACATAAAACTGCCATTCCACAAGCCTAATTGACTGATAGAGAAGGCAGTTCAGCACTGACAGATCAAATTGAACAGAAACACATAGTTGGACTATTTTCTATAGATTTGTTTGAAAATACCCGAGAAAAGTGGATGTGAGGAGAACAAAAACAGACCTCCAACCTCCTTCTTCTGCATAAAACTTTCCTTTTCTCTCATCTCTGAAGTATTCTGCTTTGCCAGTGGAAAGAGAAGAGAAACAGCTGTTCCAGTTTTGCTTAGGCTTGCAGTGATTGTTCACTGTTTAGGTGCCAATTCTTATTTCCCCTGATCAGGGAAAATCACAAGGTTTAGAGGTGTAAGTGTCCTCCACACTTCCTTGCTCCTTATGTCACCTGGATTATAAACTGTTTTCTACTCTCAGACTTGGTGTTCTGTTTATAAACATGCTTAGAAGACATGGATTCAGTCACTACATATTGAGCTATTGTCCAACCATGCTCCTGCATTCCATACAAAGTAATTTAACACAACTTTGGCTGATAGGGCCAGCTTGAGTAGATAAGTTAAGCATTAACACAGAAGGACTGTGGACTGTGAGGGGAAAAAATTAGAGTACAGTACTGAGATTCTTTCCAAAGCTGCATTCTGAAATAGCATTGTATTTTTAGACTATCTTTCTTGCTTAAAAACACAATACGTAGTTACATTTATATGATATTTAGCTATTTGCCTTTGGCATTTCTCCACGTCGCACATAAATAAGCTATGAAACTCACTGCCACAGGATATTTTGGAAGGGAAAAATAGTATTGGGTCCCAAAATGAATTAGGCCTTTCATTCCCAAAATGAATGGAACCTTCCCCAGGTTTTTGGGGAAGGTTCTTTCACATTATGGAACATGGTATTTGGGATGATACAGACGATCTTAACTCTTGACTGCCAGAAAATGTGCAGTAGTCTTGTGATCATTCTAATGTTTGTGCTGGGTCTTACACTAACTTCCTACATGTCTCCTGCTAGCTGTTGTCACAGGGGAGAAAACTGGGCCATCAGTTTGATGTAAGATGGTATCTCCTATTTTATATCACATAATGTTCCAAATACCACACCTCATTGCTGGGGATACTTGAAAAGTTGTGCAATGCCCTACGAAACACTGCAGCTCAATTCTTCATTGCTGCAGTATTTGAAATTGTGCTTCTGGAAATTTGAATATATCAAGGCTCAACATTAGTTGAAAGGTCCTGCATTTCAAAAGCACCTGCAGCACCAAACACAAGCCTTAGTTTTTCAGTTTTGGGGATACTAAAAAATGGAACTCTATATAGGCGCAACATTTACATGATCAGTAGAGACTTGAAATATAGTAATAGGCATTTTTATCTTAAAATGTTTAAAATTTCAGTTAATAACAATTTACTGTAGGTCAGATCAAAAGTTCTTTTAAGTGAGTGTATCTCTTTTGACTTAACTGATGCTATGCTTGGTGATATCCACTGAGCTGCTGATTAATATGTTTAAGAAATTAAGATATATTCATATAGTTAAGAGAACATATAAGTAACACATGTAAATTCCATTTACATAATCTTTAAAAATACATTTTTCTGTTACTTTCATTGTCAGCAGATAGAGCTGGTGCTAGATTGCACAGGTAGGTCAGGTGTTCTGGAGAACTGCTCACAGATGCAAACATTTGGTCATACATTCAGGAAAGCTCCTTGAAAATGTAGGTTTTAAGCATTAATTTAAGTTTAACCTTCTTGTAATTTGAGAGTATTTGGATTATTAGCAATAAAAGGTATCACTTTTGTGGCACAGAAGAAATAGATTTGCAACTTAAACTGTAGTTGATTCTTATATATATCTACGTGTAATGTAAAACAACAATGCAATTGCAGCTAGCTTTCATTACTAGTGAACTTTAGCCATGTACATACTTGTTATGAAAAGGTGTGACAAGACATCAGTCCAAAACAGGCATATTTTACCTGTTGTTTACCTGTAAATACTGCTGTGAAATAAGTCAGTTCCATCTTTTCTGCATGGAAATCATAGAAGTAAAACTGGTAATAACTGGGAGATGCAGGGACTTTATTTTCTGCACCATCATAGTTTAGCTATTCTTCCCAGACAGTTGCAGATTAATGTTTGTATTGTATAAAGCTTCAAGTTCAGATTTCATTTTTTTGAAATTCAGCCTCTCCATTTATTAAGCGCTGTGAGGTGTATGTCTATATATGTTTATATGTATTTGTTGAAGAAATATTTAATATTATTCAGTCTACAAAATGTTAAAACTGGTATTTCATCTCCTTAGGAAGTACTTACACATTAAGCAAAAGTAAGCAAATAAATCCTCTTCCTCTGCTTTCACAATATGAGGGTTGTCTAAAGTGGTGGTGATTTTGTAACAAAGTTCCACAAGGAGATAAGAAAGATACAACCAATTGCAAACATGGTTGTGTTTGCAAGGAGACAGCACTGATAAGCTGCCATTGCTTTGACTTGCTGGCTGCCTGCTTGCTCAAAAATCTTTCTGCTGTGGCTGTGAAAACTACATGAGTTTGTGCTAATTTTATGCATGTAGTGTCATTCTATTTATTTCATTATTCCAAACAATTTCCTGGACTGACTGATTAAATCTTACTAGATTAGGCCACCAATTCTGTATATTGTAAAGATAATCATGGTTCTATCCAAGGGAATGATTTGTTTGCTCTGGCCTAGGTTTTGAAGGTTGGCACGGTGTGTGCAAATCGTACAAGAGTTTATCACAACTTGAAACACTTCAAGTACAAGTTATATGTGGCTTGCAGCTCCATTGTTGAATTGGATGGTGTTGAGGATGAAGCAGTCAAAGACACTGTAGAGCGGCTTTTCAGCCACTTGGAAGAGACTGGGTGGATTCAGAAGGTATGACTGGGTTATACCCCGTATTCTTTTCCAAGCAGATGAAAGTAAGTTCAGATAAAATGTCTGATTTAATGGATCAGTTCTGAGTTACCGTTCATCAGTAATACAACTCAGCTCAAGCATTCCCCATTTCTGCTGATCCAGTGTTTCAAACTGGTCTGCTGCTGTGCTCACACAGAGTTTGTATCAGCTTTTGACATGAAGGTTTTTGACAGCTGCGTGATCTCTGGGCTGTGGTGGGCAGGCCCCTGTTTCATTTAAAAGCAGCAACACAACAAACTTGCGCTGTAACTTGGAAAGATGTACATGAAGCACAGAAAGAGTATTTTAGAATTCTGTTTATACTGAAGAACTTTTAATTGTTTAGAACCACTTCATGAACTATTTTAAGACAATTTATCTAAATATGTAAAAATTTGGATGAAGTTGCATTTAGTATGCTTTTAGATATAGCTTCTAAATTGTTATTGGCATACTTGGTCATGTATTGAACAAGAAAAGCAGTCTTTACATAATGCAGTTATTAAATATGGATAAATTGTACAAATTTTATTTCATTCACAGAGATACAATGATCTTGAAGATTACCTGGAAGATGCAGACAATTTTCAAGAAGAGAAAATTGATTAAGAGATCATATAGCTCTTTGAAAGACATTTGAAAAATGTGAATGACCTACTTTATCTACATGCACTTTATCTCTGCCTGGACTTCAAGATTTCTATGTAGGCTGTTACACATAAATTCATATGCCTTTAAATTACTGTTTGATAATGTGCTATATCTTCTTTTTCTCATCTGTGTCAATACAAATCCAAAGTTTTACCAAATCAGTCCTTCCAGTCTTACTGCATTAATCACTTTAAGTTTCCTACTATTAGAAATATCAGTTCAATATTATTTACTTGTGAAATAAAACTTCCACCTATTCAGATTGAGCTGCATTGTAGAGAACACAGGAGATGCTGAGATCTTTTGCAGTGAGTATATTTGGAAAGGTAAGGCTTTCTTATACCAGAACTTAGGACTTGCATCTTACCTTCCTTATTGCTCATTATGTGCAAGTAAGCCCAGTCAGTTAGAATGATAGTTACAACAAACAGGACCCAAATGCAAAGATCTATTTCTCCTCTGAGGAATCAGTACAGACAGTTGCAAGGCAACAGAGGAAATATTCTGCAGTCCTGACTGCATTTGCAGCACAGTAGTCATTCCTCTCTTGAGAAAGTAGGTGATGAGTCACAGTATGGGCGTCATACAGACTGAGTCTGGTTTAGCCATCTAAATGAACACATGGGCCCACATTGCTGTCTCTGATAAGTAGCTGGGGCAATTTACTGAGATTTTAAACATCAGGTTACATTGTGCAAACATAATGGCAGCAACTTGGAGTAACTGCAGTCCTAAGAGAATGGATTAATATGCCCAAGCAAGATAAGCAAGAATTCTTCCAGTGTAACTTAACAGAAAGTAGGAAGGACTTAGTCAGAAACAGGATGCATGGCTTACCAGAATTGCATGAAACCCAAATCAGAGTAGATTTTCAAGGCTTTTGGAAGGATTAAGTATGGTACTGCCCATTCTGAAAAATTGGACAAGAACTGTAAATGTGTACTCACAGCCCAGAAAGCCAACTTTGTCCTGGGCTGCATCCAAAACAGCATGGTCAGCAAGCTGAGAGAGGTGATTCTGCCTTCCTGCTCTTATGAAACTCTACCTGGAATGCTGCATCCAGCTCTGGGGTCGTGGCATAGGAAAGACAGGGCATTCTGGAGCAAGTCCAGAGGGTCACTAAATTGATGAGAGGACTGGCTGTAGCTAGCCTGAGGAGAGAGTTGGGGTTGTTCAGTCTGGAGAATGGAAGGCTCTGGGGGACCATATTGCAACCTTTAAGTATTTAAAAGTTGAGGAGGGGTGGCTACAAGGAAGATGGAGAAAGACTTTTTACTAAGGCCTGTAGTGACAGGACAACAACTTTTAAACTCAAAGAAGGTATAGATTGACATAGGGGAAGAATGGAAGGCTCTGGGGGACCATATTGCAACCTTTAAAAGTTGAGGGGGGGTGGCTACAAGGAAGATGGAGAAAGACTTTTTACTAAGGCCTGTAGTGACAGGACAACAACTTTTAAACTCAAAGAAGGTATAGATGGACATAGGGGAAGAAATTTTTTCCTGTGAGGTTGGTGAGACACTGGCACAGGTTTCCCAGAGAAGGTGTGGATGCCCCACCCCTGGAAGGGTGTTAAGGTTAGGTCAAGAGGGGGCTTTGAGAAACCTGGTATACTGGAAGATATTTCTGGCCATTATGATCCTTAGAGGTCCCTTCCAACCCAAATGATTCAGTGTTTCTGTCCGCATCAGATAAAATTAAGATAAAATTAAGGGCACAGTGTTTTGAATCCTACATCTTGCTGTACGCACATACTCTATTAGTCTTTTGTGGCTGAACAACTTAGTGAAAGATACTGTTAACCCTTTGAATCTTTTTAACATGTTACTCTCAGCATTAAAAGTAATGGAACCTGATTTCTCATAGATTTGTCCATGAGAAGTCACCACATTTATTTTGCCACTTTACTGGGAACAAATACCCAGATTGGGTGGGCAACTGCTGCCAGATGTATTGCTTAACAATGAACATCTGCTGCTTTTTTACATGGAGACTATACCTTAGATTTATCATTCACTACTCTTTTTCTAGCATTCATTGTGAGAAATTAAGTGCTTTTACTTTTTTAAGGAATTGAAATTCAGCAATGTTTTAAATGCTATTAGGCTGAGTTAGTAGCATCAGTACTCCTTTGTACCACATACAGATACAAGGTATACAAAACCAAGATGAAAATTCTCAGTAAACAGATTGAGACTTGCTCTCAAGTAAACTTTTGTTGAAGATATTCTTTCCATACCTTATCTGTGAGTTAGACACATAAAATTCTGAGGTTTGGTATGTCTTACATCTATCACCCTGGTTACCAAAGCTGAAGGTTTCCTTCTCTATTCCTTCTCTTCCCTCATCTCTGTTCTTCTGGGAATATTGGTGGGAACACACCCATCAGCTTAAAAGTATTCAGGAATCCATCTTGAATATATCCCTTTTAGTTATTGATACCTCGCTTCTTTCTGTTAACAAAATCTCTGTATAGTTTGGTTTGCTTCTCTAGAACATAACATTTGGTGTACTTTAATTCTTAGAAAGGAAAACCATTATGAAATGAGTTCTGTACCATGTAATGGAATTTGTCCTCTTAGAGCCTTCCTGACTGGTCCTAATTTTTGCTACCATATGAATTTTCTGAAAACTCTCAAGACTATGACTTCGCTTTAAAATTTTGTCAAAATGAATGGTTGATCTCTCATTTTGCTACATTAAAACAATTCACTACCAAAATGAAGAATAAGTGTGTGAAACTCTGGCTTGCTGATTACAGGTGATTCTTGCTGATTTCAAGAATACATAGAGTTTGATTGGAAGTTGAAATGGTCCATTCTAATTTTTTTATATCCCAGACTTGTTTCTCACCTCCTCTTTATTCAGCTAAAAAGCGTGTGATATCTACAGCATTTTTTTCCCAGATCATTGTTTTTTCTGTTGCTATCAGGTATACAAAAGTATTCCGATGGAACTTCTAGGTAGAAAGTGCTTCCATAGGTTTACTAGTCTTGGCTGTGGTATCACCAGTGGGACTAAGAAAATGCTATAAATTGAAAGCACTCATTTCTGTTTCAGTAAGAAACATATATTTGATTTGGCATGAGCTGATGTTTTTGTGTGTATTGTGTCTCTTAAATTCTGATACTCGCCTCACTGAGATGGGAGGAAGTGATAATACTTTTGTGGCTGTTGTTCTATCTGAAGTGTTTTTAAAAGACAGCAAATATGAAGTGTCATTACATCACTTTAACATTTGTCTTTACCACAGGAAGTTAAAAATTCTTTAGAACAGAAAAGTAAATATGTAAAATTTAGATCACATTTTCCAGGTCTGTCTGCAAATGCTAGTACAGCATGAAGCACAAAGAAGACTCTTACCCCTGAGACTTTCAATATATAGAAAAAATCAGTAAGAATATTTCTAGCAGAAAAAAATTGTGCAAATACCTAATGATGGGAGAAGTTAGAAATCTGACCAGTCTTTCGTGCTTTTTTTTCCACATCAGGGAAGCTGAATGGAGTTAGGAGGTGAGAGAATAAAATGTTTGTTCCAGTAGGATATTTTAAATTGGTTTTAGTGTTAATTTTTGAAGCAGTAGCTCTAATTAAGATAAAGTAACCTGTCTTAACGGAACAATGAAGAGAGCTCAGTATGCGATTAGACTTTGCATGGGTGATTAATGATCATACTTGGAAATTACTTTATTTCCTGTAATGTTTTGATAATCTGCTCTAGTTTAAGTTCTGTAACTAGAGACGGTGATAATGATGAAGTTCACACAAGGTATTTGTGCACAGGATCAGGCTGACTAACACAATGTACTTCAGGGACAAGAGGTTCTTTTTGGTCTATGTTCTGTCCAGTTCTTGCAGTGAAGTATGAAAATAAATTATTTTTCTCCCTCTGTGTCCTTCAGTTTTTGGAAATAAACTTGTTTGCTAATAGTAGATAGCTGTTACTGCCACTTTTTCGACAGTGAAGGCTTCTCCTGTTTCCAAAAAGCAGCTATTTTTAGCACTTCAGCAGGCAATTACAGGCAATTCCCATGCTTAACTCCTCTAGTTTACATTTATTTGGATAAATAAAGACTTCTAGTTTTATCCATTTTTAAGTCTGTCTGGATAAACAGAGTGCGCTAGTGTGCATGTGTGCTACACAAACACTTGTAAATACAATACTATTCCAAGAGAAATATCCAGCACACACAAAGTAGACTTTTAAAAAGTTGCCCTTCTGATTCTGCTTTGAGAAGAAAGTAATACCGATTTCTAATCTGAATTCAGAGATTAGACAGAAGAATGTAAAATGTATGATCTACCAGCCAGAGTAATATAAGAAATATATGAAATTATGTTAAAAGACCTGATAATAACCCCATCAGTGGCTCCACTTCCCTGGATAGTTGATGTGAATTTTGGTAGTAAGTGATAGCATGGGATTGTTCGGGGTTTCTTCCCCTATTGTTTATTAAATAAGATATGAACACAGTTTCCTTGGATTAATTATTATTTGTTTAAAAAAAAACAAAAACACCAGAAACGCTCTGTTCAAGATTTCTTACTTCACAGTATTAACAGAGCTTAACAGAGCAGCAATTGCAAGTACCTTGTGCCCAAGTTTAAAGATGAGAAAACTGACTCAGGTGCAGCCAGACTCTGCTTCAAAGTTAAACAATTTGCCAGGTGAGCAGCATCATACAAGAGCCTAGCTGGGAATACCCCCAGGCAAAGGGCAAAGAACCCTCATTGAAAAGTAAATAATGGAAATGGCTAAAAATTCAAAGCTCCAGTTCAGAAAGTCCTCTGTAGGATTGATACAAAGTATATGCCTTTCCAGTAGAGTTAATGTAACTTAGAAGTAATTTGATATGTGATTTCTAAACACAGATGAACGAGGCATATGCTGAGACTGAAGCATGCACTCGAGATTTTAGGTGACACAGGTTCAGCACAGTCTTTTTGTTCCATTTTTGGAAAGTTATTAGCATGATGGGATGTCTATGGTGAGAATTCCCGGCTGTGAACCCAGCACAAAGTGCTCTTCTCATCTGGAGGGGGCTGCTGCTTTGGGAAACTCAGAGCTTCAACAGCAGTAGGGAATTCAAACAGAAAAAATGCTCAGGCATGACAGTTCTTGTGAGATTACAATGTCAGGTAAAAAGGTCACAACTTAGTGTCAACAGAAGGAATAAAGTAGTTAATTGTTCAAGGACCTGTTATGTTTTATCCTGAGTGTGCTTATGAGAATGCCACTAACCGCAAGGGATGTTACAACGTGTTAAGAACTGTTTGTTTTTAAGGAAGTTGACAACTGACCAGTCCAAAACTGACGGCGGTATCCAGGGGTTAGTGACATTCGCCAGGGTCTTCTGAACGAAACTTGGAAAGACGAAGGGTGGCTGTGGAGTATTTCCTGCTCGGAAACACCAGGGGCAGCATTTGCTGCGGATTGAGCGAGCGGGGCTCGCAGCGCAGCCCCGCAGCCGGCTGCCTCTCGCCTCGGAAGGGAGAGATCAAACCGCAAACCGAACTCTCGAGATGCTGCTTGGCAAAAAGCGCATCTTAAACTTCTCAAGTTAAAATGAAAAAAGAAAAAAATCTTTGTTTGGAAAGATCACTCTCTGAGTTGTGTGTAGTCTTGTAAGAGAGAAAGAGAGAGAATTCCTCCAGCTGTCTTGGTAGCTTCCGGAGCAGCACCATGGATTTCATATTCCTGCAGCCACTTTGAAAAACATAGCTAAGCCATCATTTAAAACACTCTCGCTTATTCTCCATGAGAATTGTGTTGCACATGTGTTCTGTGACTGACCCCCTTACACACAGCAATGACATCTGAGCTGTACAGAACAAATAAAAGCTCAAGTAAGGCCTGAAGCAAAGGTAACATTGTCTACTATTTTACAAACATTATAATTTCATTTTATTTTCCAGCTGTGCCAACCCACTGTTCTCAGCAGATTCAAGCTACTGTTGCATATCAAATAATAACCCACTCTTCCCTAGTTGTTCAAGGTTAAACAACAACAAAAAACTCTTTTTCCTGTTAGCAATAATGCCTTCCTCTGAAGCAAGCACAGCCCCAAACTTTTTCCCACAGACCTTATCCCTCAGCAAAGTCTGAAAGCATCTGCTGAGACAAACATGGGACTGAACGCACTGGACGCTCTGGCTTGTGCTCACCAAGAACCTGGAAACCCACATCTTGCAACAAACCCTCATGTTTGTTGCCACATGAAGGAGATGGGGGTCATGAAAGTGGGGGCTTTTATATTTCCCATATGTCTAATGCTGCATATCTTTTATATTCTAGGGGATTTCCCAGGAATGTGTCACTTCATCAC